ACAAACTTGCATTTATAACAAATGGATCATGAAAACAATTTTCCAATTGGTTTTTCATGGCAATACGGAAAATCATTTTTACATTGGATCGAAAAAGAAATCCCAAAGACACTTCTCTTTGCTTGGCGAATATTGCATAAATTACTCTAATTTTCCAATGATATATTAAATAAGCCAAGCACAAAATGAAAAAAAAATCGCCAAGCTTTGAAAACAATGCCACAGAGAAGCTGATCAGACAGATCGACTCGTCTAGATAAAGATCATCACCAGAGCAACATCATCAACGCCAGCAGCAACAGCAACAATAGCTACCATGGACGAGAGACGGACATTGAGGTAGACAGACTAACAAAGTGCCGGAGGATAAACCAAAAAACAAACGAAACGATATAAAGCAAAAACAAACAGTAAAAATACATTACGCAAACAAGATTAAAATGAAGATAGTGAGGCACACGTACCCCATACAACACAGCAGCAGCAGTGGTAGATAGTGGTGTTGGTGTTGTTGTTGCTGCTGCAACCATAGAGTATTTATGTTTTGATCTTGACGCCACACAATCATAAATGTGGGAAACAACACAGCTGGACACCCGGCCAACAACAAAACAAGTAAACGACATTAGCTTTGCAGCGGCGCAAAATCCCATCTCACACAGACGACAATAACAAATTTCCAAAGGAAAAACCACCGCACAGAAGCAATAGCAACAACAACAACAGCTACAACAAAAGTAATGTCACCTCCACCAAAAACTAAAACAATTAGTAAAAATTATTTGATGTTTAAACTAAACTAAAAAAGTGTACAAATCAAGGAACTAGAATGCTGCCTACGGACTGAGAGACCAGCAGACCAGACAGACAAAGATTTGGATAACTTGGCTACCAAGAAAAGGGAGATGTAATAATAAAGATAAATGCGTGACTTGGTGTAAGGCACGCGTTGAAAATATCACAGTCTCGAGTAATAATCACGCCATCAAATGTAGCAACATCAAACTGTAATTGCAGTTTGGGAATAACCCAGTGAACGATTTGGTATGAGTTTAATGAAATGAATGGGAATCGTGAGGGAGATGAATAAGGAATTATAACAAATATGTAGTAAAGGAATGAATAAAATAAGTATCTGGCAAGGAGGTCTTTTTTGAGAAATTGTATATAATATCAGTTATCTAGAAAGAGGGTCTATTTTTCGAGAAATCGTCTAGTAATAAATAACAAATCGGATTGGAGCATATTTCAAGCCCCGGACTTCAGTGCGCCCAAGTATAAGACCCAGGCACGAACCCAGAAATCGAAAATGGTGATGGTGTGGGCCGCCATAACAGCCGATGGTCTCTCTCTCTCTCTCTTCGCTCATATAGCATCCGATTAAATGCCAAATATTATCGCGAAAATATTTTGGAGGGTGTATAAAAGCCTTGGGCACGCAAACATTTTAGCCGCAGACCTTGGACATTCCAACAGGAATCAGCACGATCGCACCCAAGAATGGCGCCACCCAAGAATGGTTCCTCTCTTCATTTCCAGCGCACAATGGCCACCAAAATCTCCGGATATCAATCCATTGGACTATTGTATCTGGAGTATTTTGGAATGCAAGGTTGGAACTAAAAAATACCAACGTGTCGATCACCTCAAGCAAGCGGCTCGCCGGGAATGGTCCAAAATACCGCAGAGCAACATTCGGGCAGCGTGTGACGGTTTCATTGGCCGTTTGAAGGCCATAATTCGTACCAAAGGTGACCAATTCGAACAAATCTAAACTCATTCTAAAATTTGATGCTATTTCCGAAATTTTCTGCTTTCATGTAATAAAATTTGAAAAAAAAAATGTAAAAATTATTGCGTTTGTCTTCGTTGAAGTCATCCTGTAATTTCCCATCCTTTTCATGAATTTAGCTCACCTCTGATGAAGTATTCATTGCTTGCCATTCAACAAATATTTCAGATAATTTTTTTTTGGATGGAGAAATTTGCTCTAGGGGAGGTGAACCCAAACTTATACATTAGTATTGTGTCAATTCTTGGTATTTATGTTACCTTCGACTAACTTTTACTCGCCTTTGGAGAGGAAATTTATTGCATTTCCTTTAATTCGCTGGCTCACCAATAAACCCAGATTTAAAAAAATTTTTTTTTGATGCGACCTAAAAATTGTTTTCTGGGATGCCTTCAATTTAAGAACATTCGCTGTTGTTGTTGGTTTTTATTTCATAAGGGCTTATTAATGGTTAATATGTTGGCGTTGCAATGACAATGTTTGTTGATTACACAATTATTAAACGGAAATGATGCTGAAATGGACATAAAAACCACCACCGCCACCACTCACCTCCATCTAATGATGACGAAATTGTGCAAGGGATCGTTGATATTAAAAACTCGTGTTAGACCACGTTTAGGTTGCAATCAGATGAAAATATGACATGAAATTGATATGTACAATGTTTGTCAAACAGATTATAAGGGTTTATAGACGAATGACTGGCTGCCAGGTTGGCTGCTGCCTAATGTCCTTTCCCAAAACAATAAAGTGTGAACAAGGACATCACACCACCAATGTATGATGGTGGGTTAGGTTTGAAGGGTGCCATAAGCCAGGATTTTTATTAATTGCCCAACAAATGGTCACAGACGCGCATGCGTACATGTGTTTGGCACTGGCATCAATCTCAACCCCCCTTAAACCACAATGAGATACAGTAGCAAACCCTGGCAGGCTGCACACAAACACACACATGTTTTCATTTGTTATTAAAAATTTGTTAAATTGAATGTCATTTCGGCCAAAGGAAATGCTCGGCATTAACATCAAATCAACACATCATCATCATAAGCATCGTCATGAACATCAACATTTTTATGATGCAACAACACGCCACACCAAAAAATACAACAACAATGGCTACACATAAAGTGCACACTTTAATCCTAATCCTCCCGTATAAAAGGCAACATTTTCATGGACCGGCGGATGAATGACGTGGTTATGGAACCCCCTCACATGGCAGTGCAGTTTATTAACGAATTGTGATCTTCAGATGGCAATCGTAATCATAATCATGATATCAATGGTTAAATGTATATTTCATGTTTGTTTCCTTCTCTGTTGTTTGGGACAATGATTACTTCAAAGGATAATACCCAGTTTAGAAGAGAAACACTAATGAAATTTTTGACTCGTGTCTAATTTTAAAAATGTGGGCTTTTAAATTTGTTTGTTTTTTTACAAACTGTCAAGGGGATTTAAAAAATACTTATTTTAGAGGATACCTGAAAAACAATACATTTGGCATGCGCAGAGAAAAATTTACTTGCGCATAAGCCTTTTCCACAGACGAGAAACAAGAGAAAGCTTTTAGAAATCTCCCAAAGAATTGGGCTTTGAGAAATGGCTTTATTAATCTTCATTCCCTCCACCTCCTTTGGACTACACAATTAAAAAACATTTTTGAAAAACTTGTAACCGATTTTTGCTAATATTTTCCCAACGCCAGAAATTCCATGAAAAAAAAAAAAAAAACAAAATCCTTCTACACCTGGCCAATTCCTTCACATAAACTAACTCATTGACGCACACAAATGACTTTTTAACATAATTTTGTAACGTATTTCTCCCACCACCTACCTACCTACCAGTCGGTAGTCAGTTAGTAAATAAGTGGTAGGTTTTATTTTCTTGCGCCTGCCTCATGGAAGTCATGCTTAGGTGCGCACATATCACCCACTTAAAGGACATTTGTAGAGAAATACTTAACATAAGGTTAACAGAAGACATATGGTGACCAGAAAACCTTTGGCAGTGGGTTGTTCGCATTTAGAGTTGGTGGGAAAAAAGGATATTTTCCAGAAGTTGTTGGCAAACAATCAAAATTATTTTAAAGTTGTGGGAAACATTGTGAGAAAATTGTATTATCGAAACGATGGGGTGGTGGAAGGCAACAAATGTCGTCACTTTGCTAAATAATATTGAAGGTTGTAAATGCTTGAATTCTTCCTTTAAATACCATTATATAAAAGGAAATTTTAATTTAATTTTGAATTTATTTATGCAATCTATTTCTCTAATAGAAAACTAAGTTGAAAAATTATAACAAATCATTTTTGGATAAATGCACTTTTAAATTTAATTTAATTTAATTGATTTACTCTTTGAAACATCAGTTCTGAAGCCCCTGTCTTATAATCATATACGGAAAAATAATTAAAAAATGTACAAAGCAATATAATGGGTAAGACCCCAAGGTGAAATATTGAACTTTCTAATTTAACTGGAAATGCGGGTTGGTACAAATTTGAATAATTTGTCATAACTTTATGAATTTTTATTTTCGACATGAATTATATTTATTGGTGTAGCGTTAAGTTTATTATTAATTATTGTCGTTAAATCCCTTTTTTGGATTCTTAAACTGATTCTTAAACTAAGCTTTGTCTCCTTTGCAAGAAATCTGCCTACTCATTTTCACTTGCATCAACACATTCAAACGATGAGCATCAACTCTTGTCCTATTCTCTACCTCTTCTATATTTTTTATTTTATAAATAAGCAGATAAGTATGCTTTATAACGTTTTTTGAATCTCCTTTCCTTTATTTTTTTGCTTTATCACCATCAACGCAATATTATTTCCCTTTGGTTGAGAAATAATATTGCCAAACGTTCGTCATTCATATACATACAGCCCACCTTAAGGCTGGGTTTCCACTTGTTCGGTATTTTCCTTATTTTTAATTGGAATCTCCCTAACCATGGAAAATATTGATCCCGATAAAAAGATGCATTAAAAATAAGATCTTTAGATAATAATCATGGGACGAAATATTACTTTAAATTTATAATATGGTATTGTTTTTTTACATTAAAAAAATTACCAAAAAGCTAAAGAATTCTTTCTTTGAATTCTTTAAAATTCAATTCTATGCTAACTTATATGTTTTTTTTTTTTTCATAATTTTAATTAAAAATGTAATTTTTTTTTAACTTACCATTATCTCTTTCATTGCGATCCTCGCTGCTGTGAATTGACGAACCGGTATGTGCCTCTCCGTTCATTAAGGAATCATTATGATCCTGATATGGTGATGTGGGTCGACCATCAACTATCATTTCTTCACCAGCTGCAATATCACGATTTGTTTCGTACCATAACTAAAAATAGGTAACATTATTTAAATATAGTTTTAAAATAATTTTTTTTTACAAAAATTGCATCTTACATATCCTGCTATACAAAATGTTGTTAGATTAGCCTCTTTATCACTGTCCACAGAGGTGGCGGTGCGAATTTTCTTCAATAAATTCTTAACTTCGGGCGAGGGTTGCAGTAGATTACGTATGTGGGGCATATTTAAGAGCTGTAAGTTAAAATGAAATAAAAAGAAAAAACTCGTTAATATTTTTCGGAAAAAAAATAAATGAAAACCTCTATGCATAGGAGGGTGCTGTTAATTTGTTTTTACTGAACAGCGCCATCTATAGGTGTGTAGTAGTAATTGGCGATTTCTTCAGTGTTAAATATAAATATGGATTGTGTCTTGACTTAACATGGCTATGTTAATTGAAAAATACTATTAATATGAAATGTTAAAGGGAAGGTATAAAAAGACATTTCAGAAAATGTAGACACAACAGGGTAAATTTAAATATTTTATTAATTAATATTTTGACTTGTTCTATTCCAGGATACGTAATCATTCTATCGTTTTTACTTATCAGAAATTAAAAAAATTTATAATTTTTGTAATGACAGACATAGTAATTTGGACATCCAGTTTAAAAAAAATGATGAATAAATAGATGGATAGGTTGGTAGTTAGCTATAAAAATAGTTAAGTACACATATAGATATATAGCTAAATGAATAAATAAATAAATCTAGGGTCAAATCTGCTCATTTTACAAAGAAGTTGCTAAATACATAGCAGAGCCCTTTCCTATATATTTATTTGTATTTTTTCAATATGTAGTCCTTGTCCTTCTTGTCTTTTCGTATTAAAAAAGTGAACCCTTTTCTCCCTTCCCAACTCTCCTTTCCTACATCATGCCCTGTGATAGAAAAAAAATAAATTTTTAAGGACATTTTACCCTCAAAATTTATTGCAGAAATTACTTGCACATGTTTCCGTGTACGGAAAACAAAACAAAAAAGCAGAAGTCTTATAACAACACAATTGAATTGATTTACGTTCAAAACCCCTTTTCTTTCTGCTTGCCAACAATAAAAATTTTCCAATAAATCCTTTACGTGTTGTCCTGCAGATTTCATGTCATGTTCGTCTTAGTTATTAGAAGTTTCTTTTTAACCATCCTAACGAAATTATAATTAATGAATTGTGGTCGAATGACAATCGAAGAACAAATTAAAGACAAGAAGCCGCCTAAGAAGCGTGTAACAACAACAAAACAATGGACAATATTTCTTAAGAAGACGATAGCCGGTAGCAACCAACAATGATGATTTGCGTGCAGCACAAACCCTAAAGAAGACGTCACACTGTCTGCCTAGGAAAACGAAAGAAGACAATTTGGACAAAGAGCTGCCTTAAGACGTACAGGCCACTAGCCAGCCGTAAGTGCGGTCTCAAGGGACTGTGGTTATGGTTAATGTGTTACAAAAAGGAGGAGATAGTAATTTTTTCCAAAGATAAATACTAAAGTGTGCGTGACCAGCGAGCCAGAGAGACTTATGACAAATGTTTGGGGTTGTGCCAAATGGATTTTACAGTTAGTTTTAGAAAATTATTATCAGTTCTTAAAAATTAGTTAGAAAAAATATTGATTTTGTTTTTGTTGTTGTGGCATCTCAGCAGGGCTTCAATGTCTTTGAACCACTGCTGGGTTTGTGTGTGTAATTCATAATAATCAGCCTCATCATCATCATCGTCCTGGTCGGAAACCCTTTATGGTCTACAACAGCATTTGAGTTTTAAATGCCAAACAATTGATGGCGATTATTCCGACTGTTGAGTAGCCAGATGAGGATGATGATGCTGCTGCTGATAAAGAAGTCTCGTCTCGTCTCGCCTGGCTTTAAATTAATTGGAGTGTAAGCATTCCATGCCCAATAACTTTTCAATGGGGGTGGTTAGGGCTAGCTTCTTGACTAAAGGTTTCAACTTTACAAAGTTCAGAACTTCAACATTCTCCAAATGTCTGTTCAAGCAATCATCATCCATCCCAAAGCAGACGTATGCTTATCCTTTTTCCCTTCTTTTTTTGCCCGGCATTTATTCACTCCTCTATTGTTGTTGGACTTCTAGCTTTAACGTTAAGTTGTTTCATGCGGCGTTTTTTTGTTAAACATGTGTACCCACTTGGCTGTTGTTTTACACCAACTTGTTGTTTTTTCTTTTTTGCATTTTCATTTTTCGATTCCGCCTGCTACTGTGGCGTGTTATGTGTGTGTGTGGCCCTTATTGGTTAACTCATTTGGAAAAACGTCGGTTATTTTAAACAACAACAATAATATTCTCTTGGAACTTTTGTGTTGTGTTGGCGTTTTTTGTATATCCCGCTGCTGCTGTTTGTAGTAGTTTGGATGAGTAGAACATTTTGTTTTGTTATTAAGTGGCTTCTGTGCCGCGTTCCAGCATCAGCAACACGCTCCAAAAATTATATTATTTTAATACGAGAACATATATGAAAACGCATCAGCATTATGTGACGATGATTCTTTGCGAGAGCAAAATAAACGCATGCAAATGTAAAGCTCCTTAACCATCCATCCATCCATCCTTCCTCCTCAAGTTTGTTTCACTGGCTTGCCGTGATTTTTGAAGAGGATTTTCAAGAGTTTTAAATTAAATGGTGACACACGTATAAGTTGGTGTGTGTGTGTGTGTGAGTATGTGCGTGTGTCTACATGGGCATAAGTTTAGCTTGCTCATTTACTCAAGTGAGAAAGGTTCTTAATCCCTTCCAACTTATTTCCCGATCCAGGGGGTGGGGAGTAAAGTTTTTTTTTTTTTGTTGGATTATAATTTATATAAAAATTACATAAATAGGGCTAAAAAAATCCTACAATGGTTCACGGAACCACTTTTCAAAACTTAAAATATACGAAAAGAAATTAAAAGAAGTTGATTTAAAATTACAGGTTGAAATGAAAAAACTGCAACCAACTTCAGACTGCTGTCATTTCGAAGCCACACGTCCGACAGCTGTTAAAAATATCCCAGCATTTTTTAAAGGATTTTGGTGAGAATTTTCCAGAAAAAAAAGTTATTCGTGCCACCCAAGAATGATGACAAAATGAGGTTCCTCGCTTCATTTCCAGCGCACAATTGGCACCAAAATCTCCGGATACCAATCCGTTGGACTATTATGTCTGCAGTATTTTGGAAAACAAGGTTGGCACTAAAAAAATACAAAAGTGTCGATTGCCTCAAGCAAGCTCATCACCGGGAGCAACATTTGGGCAGCGTGTGAAGGTTTCATTAGCCGTTTGAAGGGCACAATTCGTGCCAAACGTGGCCAATTCGAACAAATCAAAACTTATTCTACAATTTGATGCCTTTTCCGTTCATTCAATAAAATTAAAAAAAATTAAAAATTATGACTTTTGATTTTTGATACCTCAAATCTGCTTTCTATTCGAATTCGAATTGCCAAATTGCAGATATGCCTCTCGAAACTTGGAATAGAAGCCTTCAGATTATCGAATATGCTGTACTGATATTCGATAATCTAAAGGGGGTCTACGAATTAAGGGATCTACACTCTAAATTGCCTACAGGGTGGGATTGAATCCTCATTAGACTGGAATATGGAAAAAAATAAAAATAATACTTCAAGCCTGTAGGTACCGCTACGTGGAGGTCTAAGACAATTAGTATTGAATATTTTTGGTGTAAGAAATTGCAAATGCTTTTCTGTGGGAAATTAAAGGTTCAAATTTTTAAAATATCGATAAGCAGAAGGTGGTGAGGACTATACCTAAACATGGATCGATATGACCCATTTCCAATACACAATTTTCCTGACACAATGAATATTCTTCATTTCAATGCCCTGTTTCAAATAGTTTGGTAAACACACAGGCAAATATAGCCAAATCGACCAACAATTTAAAGCTGATCAAAAATTTATTCTATGAGATGTCCAGACGATTATATCGCTTCTGGTGTTAAAATAACACAACTCCTTGACTTCAGAAGAAGGTCACAATTTAAATATTTTCATCAGATTTGTTGAATACCTCTGATATAACATGCTTACTATCAATTGCGTTTAATATTGAAATTTGTAACCAAATTGGGGTTTTTGACTAGGACGTGCGCAACAACATCCTTCGAAACCATATCGAATCGGTAAAAAAATTAAGGAACAAAATTTTGAAAGGGCTTGCTTCCTCCGTGCTTCCCCATCCCTGCGTACGTCCTTGATTCTGGCCAATTAAAATCTAATTCCTTGACACTACGTAGCGGAAGTATTTCACTTCCACACTCTCTAACATCATCTTATCAATTGGATGTCCCTTGATCTTTCTTTAATCCTTGCCAATATCAAATTTCTATATCTATAACAATATGTTTCTATTTTTTTATTTATTTTTATTATTATCCCTGCCCAGAGATAATATTTTGTATGTAAACCCTGTCTTAGGACATCTTAAGATCATGTAACACTTTCACAAAAAACAGAAACATGAAATTAGACGTCTCCAATTTCATGACAATACAAAAAAAAATGAGTTTTCACATGTTTTCTTCGGCTTTAAAAAAAAATGAAACAAAAAACGACAATCTATTTACTAGCATCTCGTTCTTTATCGAGGCAATGAAATATGACATTTTAGACAACAACAACAACAATATTCGAAAACAGAAACAATATTTGTCAAGACAATAATGCCAAGGACATGGCCAATTGATATGACAACACAGCCAAGAAGAGATCAGTTTAATCCCATCTGAATGGAGGATTAGTAGCTGCAAATTTGTGCCTTCCTTCTGGTGCTTCCTGTTCCATTTATCTCCTGACAAATCCAGTTTTGTCTGGCAATGACAATGGGCAAACGGAGGCATTTGAATTATGAAAATTGGGTTGTCAGCCAGTTTAGCACATTTTTATGTTCGAAATCATTGTTGTTTGTTGCAGATTTAAATAAAACCATAACACATAAATTGCACCTTTTTTCGCTTTGGTGGTCGTTGACACAACAAAAACAACAGGCAGGGAAAGCAAGGATGAGCCCAGGCTATGCAAAAAAAATATGAAAAATAATATTTACATTACATTTGCCCCTTTACAAATTGTTGTGGTGCGATGTGCAAAATTTTTTCAATTTTTCAAAAAAATATTTATTTAGTGGATGTTCACACTTGGTGGGTTACAGGAACCCAACAATAACAAGAAGGACCTCTAGTCCATGTTCACATTTCGATTTCGAGTGTCTCACAAAAAACAAGGGCAATCAAACAGAGAATAAACATGAAAGGCATTCCTCTCAGCATTACCTGGCCTATCTTCAATTGGATTGTCTGTCTGTCTGTCTGTCAATCGATTGCCAGGCTCGCTCGCCCAGAAGATACAGATGATGTTTTTCGGTTTTATTGTTATTGTTGTAACACAAAATAAAGCTGTTCATCTGGTGTGAAAAGGAGAGCGAGTGTGACAAGCCCCTAATTGGAATTATCTTGCGTTTGAATTTAAGCCTCATTTAGGGACACTTTGTGGATTTGCCTGCTTGCTGTTTCCTCTGTGCAGAAATTAGCTCTGGTTTGAGGCAATGTGTGTGTGTGGAGGATTTTTTACTTATCAATAACGTCCTTGAAGTTATTGTTGTTGATATTGTCTGTCCGTTGGGAGGAGATTATCCTTTAACGGTTGGCAATTGTGCGTTCCTTGCTGGCTGCTGCCTGGCGTTAATTTCCTTATTGATTTGTCAGTCAAATTGAAGAGTATCACTCTCACTTCCCTCAACGGTCACTCAAGCATTTCCCAAACGTGACAATGGCAGTCATTGGTGGTGGTGGTGGTGGCGTCTTTTTTTAATTAAATATTTTCCCAATCACTTAAATTTTACCCAAAAATTGCCAACATTTTTCCCTGATCGATTTTTTGCCTTTTTCGAAAATTCAAAATTCATTTGCTTGCCAGGGATTTGTTGGGTTATGCTGTAACAGGATTAAATTACAAACACACACAGGATGTGTCAAAGACACTAACACTAATGCACATATGTTGGAAATGTGATCTGCTTTAGTTTGGCAAAAATAGAAATACAATTTGCGCAAATTTTTACTTATTTTTGTGCCAAAAAATCGGAAATATTTATGTAAACAGATGTGAAAGGATTAACGTACGTTACGAATGCCGATGATGATGATGATGTCCTTTGTCTTTGACTTATATCCCATATTTATTTCCTATTTTCTCATAAATGTCACTCTTTCATACTTACATCCCAGGCATTTGTTTTGTCCGTTGGTTCGCTCATGGCAAACGGTCCAAATCGGGTGCCACGTCGCAGATGTTGTTTGGCAAAGACACCATTTTCACGTGGCGTTAAATCACAGACGGGTTCCTGGAGACGGGTCATGCCCAGGAGTAGGTTTTCGGCTTGCAGTTTACTGCTAAGTAACTGCTCCATTTGGGCGGGTGTGGTATGATGCAGGCCAGAATTGTTTAGAAATCCTCCGGGACTGGTGGTTAGTGGAGAATTTGCATCCGGCAAGCCGGTATTTCTTGGCGGTGATTCACTGCCTCGATAGCCGTTCAGTGGTGACTGTTGATGGTGTTGCTGCGAGTGATGATGATAACTACTCAGATCTGTACTATGGGCGCTCAACGCCAACGGATGGGCCGAATTGGGAGAGATCAAATTGTGAGGAAACTGTTTGAATGCACCCAAATCGTAATCGTCACTTGTGCTGCCTGAAAAGGAAATGAAGGAGGGGTAAATTAATCAGAAAATAGGATAAGAGTTTGGGGGGATTTCAAAGGAGAAAACTCTCAAGGACTCTGCGAGTGTTAAATAGTAGCGTTTTTAAAAAAAGAACAATTATTTCCCTTTGCCCTTAAATGAGAAGTTATTGTGTTATTCCGACGTATTGATTTCGATTTTCTGACAGTATTTTATTAAAGTCAAAATGGGGACCTAACCATTTTATATAGATTTTTAAAGCTTTAATATTTGATTAGTTGATAGGTGTTGAAAATGGGATTCATCTGTCCATGTTGTAGTACAAAGGCCCAGGTAAAATTTCACCTAATTTCGATATTATAAATATTTTAGACAAAATATCCAACCGAAGGAGCTGCAGTTTGAAATTTATGGTCCTTAGGATATAAAATCCTTTTATGTAAGAAATATTCAATATTGGGCCAGTATCTGGCATAGTAACTGTAAATTGCGATACTTTTGGAAATAGGTACTTTGGACGTTTAGCTCACGTTTTCCAAATTGTTTGATAAAGGTCCAGATTTTGGAAAATGTTGTTCAATTAACATTATTCTCCAATTGTTATTTTTTTTAAGGTCCCTGTACACTTTTTCTGGTACAATTTGGATTTATGGATCCGCAACAGGACAACAAGATTTTTTTTTTCAAATCCTATTTTTTTGTTTTTTTCCAGCCCTATACCTAAACTGGAAGAAAACAAACAAAGCTACTAACAAATTCGGCAATCTTGACCCTACGAATATATGTTGAGAGATAAAATGCTCCATACATCTATCAATATAAAGCAGAACTCCGAAAAGCTCACTCGAATACGAGAAAAGAGTGAAAATAGCTCGAAGCTGAGCGGGGTCACACCCCTGGAATAAGAAAACAGAACGAGTAAAACACTATTTTTCGTTTTCCCTCGAATAATAATATTGGGGATAAAGGGCCCCATAACTCTATCAATATAAAGCAGAACTCCGAGAAATTCGTTCAAATTCGAGAAAAGAGTGAAACTCGCTCGAAGTTGAGCGGGATCACTCCTGGGAATCGAAAAAACAAAAAGAGCAAAATCCTATTTTTCGGCGTCCCTCGAATAAGGGCGAGTACGATTTGTTCCTATTAGAGTGGAAGTAAAATTCGTTCAAAAACGAGCCTATTCTACTCTCACCGAGCTCTCTTTTAGTTTTTGCCATAAGTTTGGTGTATTTCTATGTAAATATATTTTTTCGGCACATCCAACCCCCTCTTTTACAGTACAAAACAGCATCCATCGCGTTTTAAAAAAACCACAATTTAGAAAACCAAATATTTTTTCACCCGAGTTCATTCTTAGAGCAAACTCTCACTGTATTTCTAATGAGTTGGCTCCCACTTTAACAGAAGTGACTCGGAAGCGCTCCAAAGCCAAAACAAAAGAGAGAAAAGTGAACTCCCGATAAAACTCCCACTCTTCGAGCACTGCCGCTCGCGAGCAATTTCCATCTCCAGGTGAAAACGAGCAAAACCCGGAAATTACCTAGAACCCTTTTTTATATGTCTCAAAAAACTATGGCAGATTGTCATGGAAGGATAAAGTTAAGGATAATGAAATGTCTTTGGAAAACAGTATTCATTTGATTTCACTGGAGGAATTACAATTTCAAAGCCGGCATAACTCTGAAAATTGAAATATTTCCAAACTGGAATTCAATATTCTCAAGTATGCTTATCAAGGGTTATTTTCCCAAAAAGGAAATATAGTCAAATCTCGTTAAACAGTATTTCTATAATATTTGATTTAAAATAAAATATCTTTTTTAAAATTTGAAAAAATTCCTTCCCAAAAGCCCACCTGCAAAGAAAGTTTGCCGTTATTTTTGAGTAAACTTTTTTTTACGTCACAACGCCAAAACAAATTGTATATTCAAATAAAATCTCAAAAACCCCTTTGATAATGTCTAGCCAAAACCCCCACAGATATGACATTAAAATAGAGCACTGTCTCAACTACTTTACTAATCGTCTTGTCATAAGATTACCAAATCCATTTTCTATTAATTTCACACGTATTTCGTTCGATACGTAAATACTTTTTTTTGGTTTCGAATTAAATGTCCCAATGTCCAAATAGATAATGATAAGACAGTTTAAATAAAATGTGTTTAAAAATACGTTCGTTTCTTGGGCAGATATCGAGTGAAGAGCTAAGCCAACACTCGTTGTTTTTATCGCCGGCGAATAATCTGACAATAGAGTTAATGGGGGGAAATTGGCATTATCGTAGGATGTCCATCAAATTATGGCTTGTTTCCAAAAAAAAAGTTTGTCTGGCTTGACAAGGTGTTTGGAAAAGGGGAGAGGAGGGGGGACAATGAAAGAATGTCAAAGATGTAGACGTTACTGGATTCACCCATAAACGCTGAAAATATCAGCAATGATTGACACTTTTAAAACGCTGACAGACAATGATGTCAAAAGAAGCTTTCATTTTGTTTTGTTGATAGCTACAGCTCTGGAATAGTACTCCATGAGATAAGCCGTCATGAGATAGGTAAAAAGCAAACAGCAAAACGGTGTTGTTGTTGTTCGATTCTCAAGTAAAATCATGACCTTGTGTGAGGTCCTTGTGTTTTTGATGCTAACTAGGCGCTAGGTACATATGTTTTCTTTGGTGTTTGAGTTGTTTGTGTTATTTTAAAGGATTCCATTGTTAACAGGACCATGATGAGGTTGCTGGAACGGTGATTGGGTAATATTTGTGTGTTATTCAGTGGTTTACCGCTTTTAGTTAAACACTTTGTCCTATTTATCTTTGTGGCCAAGTGTGAAAATTCTCAAATGTTGTTTATGGCCTTGTTAACAAGGTTGTTGGCAATTTATTTCCCTTTTTTCCAGTTGTTGCCCTAATTACATGAGATTTTCAAGATTAACACTTGTTTCTGGGATACCTATCTGAGGACCACTTGAGCGGGTAAATATTGATACAGGCTCTCATAGGAGATATGAAACAGAAAAACGAAACAGATAAGTGAATAATTAAATTTTACAATTCGAATGCAGCAAGTTGTGCTATGACCAATGACTAATAATAATTTTATTAATCACACCACACGCTCGGAAAACCTCAAAACCTAGATAAGAAAATGTGTATTTCCATTTAGGAATTTTAATATTTTCCTCGATTAGAAGGTTCTTCTATGACTCATTATTTCAAGAATGCGCAGAGTTATTGTGGCACGCCTTGGACCAGATGTTATTGATACGTGTATGTCGGTTGTGGTAAACATTTTCGAACTAAAATAGATCCTTTAACGTTTTGTGGTGTCGAGACTGTTACATAAGGTAAAGTATTAGTTTTTGCATTGTGGTTAATAGAAATTTGCGCCAACCTGAACAGAAATACATTTTGCATTAAAGGTATAGCAAATATCGATGATTGGTAGTTGTTGGTTACCTCATCCAATGAATCAGCGTCATAAGCGGATAATTTCTACAACGAAGACAATGAAAAAAGTCTGTATCAGAGACGAACTCAGAAATGCATTTTGAACCCAATTTCGGGGGTCTAACTAGCCAATGCAAAATTTACAAAAATGGTCAGAAAAATAATAATTTCGGAGGACAAATAACCTCCCTGCATACTTTTTCTGGCATGTATTAAAAAATGACGAATCCCGTCATCATCAGAAATTCTGCAAAAACAACCGTTTTTTGGTTTGCCTTTTAAAAAGGAATGAAAGAAAACACACGTAATGGAATCCAGTGTGAAAATGTCATCTAGTATCATAAAACCTCCTAAAATAGCTATTAAGAAAAATAGGTTCATCGGACACGGCTATTTCTTCATTATATGATTTTCTCCAAGATTTGATTTTAATTCTCTTCTTAAAAAAATTCAAATTCAATTCAATATTCAAATGTCTCCGAATAAAGTGGTATTTTTCCTAAATAAATTTGGTAAAAAAATCGGAAAAATATCAAGATTTTTCAAAAGATTCCATCCATCAGTATACAAATTAAGGCTACCAACAAAAAAATTGGCACCCCTGCAATACATGATGAGAGTTAATGAATATATTGATTTCAAGCCAAACGAAATAGTAGACAAGGATTTCTTTGCCGAAATTTCCGAATCTAATTCAGAATTCCCTCCGATTTCAACAAAGAAATTGTATGGATGTAGTCATCGAAATCGGAAAGCCTTTCTAAGTAATTTCCTAAAAATTTATTAGAGTTTGTAGACGAACTCTCACCGAATTCGGAAGAAAATTTTATTGAAAAACCGGAGAGATTCTTGGTGTGGTATATTTTTTGCAGAGATTTTTGCGAGTGTGTTCAGATATTCGCTGAGAAACGCAGGAAAATGTGAAGAAAATAAAAAATATAAAAAATCGGTCGAATTTCTGAAGAATTTTAAAAAAATCGACAAATTTTTTAAAGAATAGAGATCTTGGAAGAAATCCGAGCCCTCGGAAAAACGTGTGAGCTAGTTATTCAGTTATAAAATCTACTCCCAATACATAGACATCTTTTACATTTTCGGGATGGTCACAATTTATTGGGAGATCTCTAAGTGTCATCGGTTTTGAAATCCATCCAAATCAAAACAAGAGTATTTTTACAGAAAACTATTGACCCCGAAGCCTACTAACAGTACGTTCTACTTCTTTAACATTACTTCTTTATTAATTCTTAGTAAGTTGAGCCATCATTTTCCCTTTCCTTATTTTAAAGGTCCTTATAAAATTTTTAAATTGTGCGAGCTCTAAATTGGATTTATGTATCCGTAACCGGACAGCAAAATGTTTTTGTTCAAAATATTGAAGTAATGCCATCCTAACTGTTACAAATTTGGAAAACAAGTGATTGTGTCCAATTTAAATTTTTACCAAGTCGAAGGGTATAAATAGCTCGACATCTGATTTTAGCTTCGTTTTACTTGTTAAGATCTACATCCTGGAAAATCATTCTTATATTATTTTCTTCACTTGTATGCCTCTATCTTTCC